GTGTCTTCCATGTCTAAGCTGAGTAAATCAGATTGTGTGAGCATGGAATCGGTCCTCACCCTCGACAAAATGTTCTGCACTCCTTGGGCCAACTTCCTCTGTGCCTTTCTCATCCACCACATCTTCTTCAACTTCCCGCTCACATTAGTCGGGTTCTCCAGACACAGTTCCATAAGTAATCCCTGAGACTGTGAGGGCAGTTTATAAAGCAGCAGGCCCCTCAACAGCTTCGGCATGTCATGCTCCTCATTGATGGGAAGTTCATCAAAGTCTAACTGCACAAGGACGAACCGCTGAGCACCGCAGCCCTTCTTACGGTCAGCAAAAATGCAGCCCAATGCCGAAGCCAGCATATCTGAGGAGTATGTGGCAGGATTGCTTTGTCTTTCCACTGCAATTTTCCAGTACAACTTGGCTCTCTGCAGTGTTGATGGAGAAAGCACCAGAAGGGCTTTCCCTCCATGTTTCTGGATGTGATCGAGCTTAGAGTGGAGCCACGCTGCTGGGCCGCAAGAACCGAGCTCTGTTTGGTTCCACAGGTCGAGAAATACTCTGAAACCCAGCTCAGAGAGCAACTGGCCCAGCTTACACACCAACTGTGGGTCTGTGGCAGAGGAATGGAGCAACAAAACCTGTCCCCTCATATCTAGAGAGAGAAATGAAGAGCATCATGTATGAGATTATCATAAGGTCAATTAATTAATTAGTCTTCTTAATAATAAGACACACAAATGACTGTAAATAAACACCTTGAATCCCTTGAGAATGACACATTCTGTCCCATTCGCTAAGCGACCCTGTGAGAGGGACATAAAAGATTGTAAAATCTCATCAGTGAAGAAGACTTTCTATAATACTTCAAGGAATAGTTTACCCAAAAATAAAAATGTGTTGAAAATGTACTGACTATCAGACCGTCCAAGATGTAGATGAGTTTGTTTCTTCATGGGAACAGATTTGGAGAAATTTAGCATTAAATCACTTGCTCCAGTGCAGTGAATGGGTGCCGTCAGAATGAGAGTCCAAACAGCTGATAAAAACATCACAATAATTCACAAGTAATCCACATGAGTCCAGTCCATCAATTAACATCTTGTGAAGCGAAAAGCTGCATGTTTGTAAGAAACGACTCCATCATTTAAGTGAATTCATTTGTTTCATTAAGAATATTTGTTTTTTTACTTCAAACCATTGCTTCCATCTAAAATTCAAGTCCTTTATCCATAATATTGCTTTCTTTCCTCTCATCTGAATCAGGAGTGAAATATGAAGTATTTCACAAGATGTTAATTGATGGACTGGAGACATGTAGATTACTTGTGGATTATTGTGATGTTTTTATCAGCTGTTTGGACTCTCATTTTGACGGCACCCATTCACTGCAGAGGATCCATTGGTGAGCAAGTGATGGAATGCTAAATTCTCCAAATATGTTCCATTGAAGAAACAAACTCATCTACATGGATGGCCTGAGAGCAAGTAAATTTCCTTTCCTTTAAAGGCACTAAAAAGACTCTCATCTGAATCAGGAGTGAAATATGCACACGTCAAGCAAAAACAGTTCTAAACATATATGTGGGTGGATTTTGATGTGAGAGGACAACAGGGATGGACTTTTCCACTGGAGGAAGCGTTATTATGGATTATGAACTCATATTTTGGCCAGAAGTATTTCACAAGATGTTAATTGATGGACTGGAGACATGTAGATTACTTGTGGATTATTGTGATGTTTTTATCAGTTGTTTGGACTCTCATTTTGACGGCACCCATTCACTGCAGAGGATCCATTGGTGAGCAAGTGATGGAATGCTAAATTCTCCAAATATGTTCCATTGAAGAAACAAACTCATCTACATGGATGGCCTGAGAGCAAGTAAATTTCCTTTCCTTTAAAGGCACTAAAAAGAGTATAAGACATAGACAAGAGTGAGATGGGTGAAAGAACATAAAATGAAAAAGAAGGAGTTGAAAAAGACAAAGAACATGCTGAGATGGAATAAATGTGTTCTACACAGATCACCACAAAAATATGTGCTATTCACAGACACTCATGAATAGAGCCATTGAGAGCAGAGACATGCAAAAAGACTGTGGTCAACGTTTCAAAAATCTCAACTCTCTCTCTTTCACCATCTTAAATCATATAAAATAATAACAAAAAGACTGTTCAGTTGTACTTTGATAGCACAGTAGTTATCAGTCTCTAGCAATTTTTTATGGATTTTTCAAAATAATGGCAAATAAATAAATATCGATTGATCTTACATTAATATTAACCTATTAATATTACAAGACTAAATACTAAATTATATATAATGCATATATAATATACTTAGTCATTTAGCAGACGCTTTTATCCAAAGCGACTTACAAATGAGGACAATAAAAGCAGTCAGAACTAACAAAAGAGCAACAATATATACAGGTGCATCTCAATAAATTACAATATTAAATCTAATATAATTTAATGTGTCTTTGCTAAATAATTAAAATATATACAGTGTGTTATTAAACAGAATAATAATAATAATAATAATAATGGGGATTTTAGTTGGGAATATAAGTCATCTCATACATTGTGTTGTAATTTCTTTGCTGCTGAGAAGAAAACATCTTACCATATAAACAAAGAAATGCCGTAGATAGCAAAGACTTACATTTGAGTTTGTTCACAAGAAGAAGTACTCCAAAAGCAGTCAGACAAAGAAGGATCAGCGGCAGAAGAACAAGAAGGCTCCAGTACTGTCGCTCCACTAAAACAACAATGAAACTGATAACTGATAACATCTGCCATAATTAATCCAGTATAGTAAATGTTAGTTTTAGTATATCGAATATCAGTGTGATCAAATGACAATGAATGGCAGCTTTAACCAGGATATAAATGAGATGGGTTTTTCTCATCACACACTTACAGGGGTGTTGACAGTACCGCACAATCTTTCCATCCACTTTAAGCTGCAGACAAAGACAAAGATGAATGTTTACCATGTTCATTGTCTGTTTGCACTAAATGACGATGATGAATGCTGAAAGGAAGAAATCAAAAAGGCAGATGGTATCATACCATCATGCAGAGCTGCTGGTGATTCTGAGACCTGATATTCACAAATTTCCCGGATGCCTGCAGAGAGCAAATATCATTAAAGCAAACTGCTTTTTAACCAACTGGAAAAACAATTATTAGCTTTGACCTCAGTCGGAGTAGACGGCGTATTTAATTTCACGTAAATTAAAATGAAAGCAAACAAGGTTCCATTTAACATTTAGTTTGTTGTGGACCTGGGAGTCAATCATCCCGTTTCAAAAGTCCAAAAATTACTAGTGAAAGGGAGATCACTAGTGAAAATGCTTCTATTTTGCATTCTTTCGAATTTAAATTACACTAAATTGTCATTACTAATGTATTATTACTAAAAAGTTTGATTAAAAATTAAATAACACCAGAAACTCTTGTATTGTTATGTTGCACTTTTGCTTTAATGATTAAACGTTACTTTTCTTGCTTTAAATATTTATTTCACGTCAAAATGTCTTTTTGATATGGAAGCCCGTTTTCACCACGGAATGAAAAACACTTAAAAGGTCACTGCAATTTTATTTTTCTCACAATTCCAACTTTTTTTTTTTTTTATAAAGTTAGAATTCTAAGAGAAAAGTCAGAAATGTGAGATATTAACTTGCAATTGTGAGATAAAAAAATCAGAATTACATGTATGTATTTATTTATTTATCCTGTGGTGGAAACGGGCTTCCATACTTTGTTTCTAAAAATTCTAAAAGCATTTATTTCCGGGTTTCAATGAAAAAATCCTAGATTTCAGTGTGGTGTTAGATGTTTTATATCCCACTGTTGCAGTAATTCTACTTCCTCACAACCTCATTCCATTAGTGTCAAATTAAATATTCTGTCTATTCTAAGGTCTACACAGAAAATACATATACCCGAAATGTATATTTACCCATAGTACTGTGCTGTTTTCTGTCCAATCATTACAGCATTTCTGTCTGAATCCTTCAACTTCTGTGCATTTTCCATCTGCCTCGAGCTGACACGGCCACGATTCGGCTCTTATCCTGCAGGGCGCTGTTAAATTCCAGCTTAGCACCGGCTCACCATCATTTGTTTTGATGTGGGCTAAAGACACTGACATGTTGCTCAGGACATTGGCATTAAATTCTGCCAGTGGAAAAAAAAATTAAAAATTGTGGGAAGACAAAATAGATCAAGATGGTGTTGAACATCCTCCTTATCCAAGGCACTAATGCTAACTTTTATTTTTAAGAAAAGTGTAGATCTTAGATCAGTGGTTCTCAACCAAAGAGCCACTAGGGGACCCATTAGGAGGCACTAGATTATTTTTAAAAAATGATTTAAAATCTGACACAAAACAAGTATTAAAATAAACCAATTTTCATGTAAATAAATGAAATATTATAATGAATATACATTTTCTAGTTATTTTATAGGGTAGAAATAAAAAAATATGAAAAATATTACTTTAAAACATAATATTTAAAAATACATATATAATTTCATACGATTCTTATCCAGTAAATCACAAACAACTGGAAAAGTCATGGGGTCTCTGAATATTATTGTGGTTTTACCTGTTTTATTTTGTTCAAAGGGACAGATTTCCGAACGAACTGAATCATTTTTCCATGCCTGAAGCATATGCACACAAACAGGGCAAATTAAAATAATGTAGAAATATATTTTAGCAGACATTGTTTTAAATGTGTGCATGTTTGAAAAGCACAGTACCTGCAAACACATGCAGTATGTGATTGACTCCAGTGGAATGATGTTATTTGGCATAAGCTGAGAGAAGAAAAGGTATGGTAAGTTACCAAGAAAAGGCAGCTGATGAAAAACACAAACTGGTTTGTACAGTCTACTGTTTGTCTGTAATGAGCCCTCAGGCTGTGTGTTATATGGACACAAGTAAAGTGTGAGTTCACTGACCGAGCATCTCCCTTCTCTTCCACGTTTCACACACAGCGACAGGCCTTCAGAAGCTCTTTCATCCTCATCGGCTAATAGCACCTTAACCACTCTCTTCTCACTTTTAATGAAGATCCTGGGACCTAAAAATGAAAATAGGAAACATGGAGTGTAAAATGAAATTTGCTCATCCACTATGGTCTTTTATCCTAGAAATAAGGGAGTCTGATGTCAAATAGTTTTTTTTTTTACAAAAGGTCTTATTCCCTTATTTCTCTTTAGAAAAGCATCTAGTTAAACCCAGAAACCAAATGTCTGATCCAAAGAACCTATCATGTAACCAGTAATTTATCTTTCAGGGCTCTTTTTCAATAAAGCAGCATATACAGTGCACAGCATAAATGAGTACACCCCCTCTAAAACTTAACTAATTCAGCAATTACTCTTTACTTAGAAGACATGTTAGGGTTCTTTGATGTAATGTTCCAACAAGCCTGCTTGATCAATTACCAAACGCCAAAATTATTCAGCAAAATAAGATTTTCATATCAAAGTGATACAATTTTGTGTTGCAAAAATGAGTACACCCTCATAGGTTTAAGGCTATTTTTGATCAACAGGTAAGTATATTGAACTAAAACTTTTAAAGACAAGTAATTTCCTGACAATTAAAAGTGTTATATAGCCCACTGAATCAGACTCAGACTTAATGCTGGCAGCAGTGGAACCACTTGAGAGAGAAGTGCCAGGTGACTTATTTCTTAGCATAAAAGAGGACAATGGTACAAGAGGAATAGCAAATTATTGTAGAAGTGACATGCATGGTTGTTGCCACCACTAGAATTACCTACTGTAGCCAAAGCACAATAAACTCACTTAACCTCTTCCAGGGCCCATATTTACAAAATAGAGACTTCTGGGAATCCATACTCTGGTCTCAAGAGACCAAGTCAATCATTTCGGATCCAAAAGCATCCAAAATGTTCTGGTGTTGCTAGAGGAGGAGTACAGTGAGAAGTGCTTGGTACCCACAGTGACGTTCAGTGATAGTAAAGCTTTTATATAGGGATGTATGAGTGCTGAAGGTGTGAGGGAGTTGTGCTTTATCAATGCTGGCATGAATTCACACACCACTGTGTGATGTGATACAAAAACTTGAAACAGAAGATGCTACCCTCCCCTCATTCCCTGCATTATTGGGCATTTTTTCAGCATGACAATGAATATATTCATTCTCTCAAGGTGAAAATCCTTCAATGGACATGTATTTCACTCAATCTTAATGCTCTTGATGATTCTGTAGAGACGAGCTGAGCAACACTCCCTATTAAAGACCAGAGCATTCAAGGAGGTCGTCCTCCAGGAGTTAAACAGCACAGATGTGAAAATTTGTCATGAACTTGTACACTCAGTGCCAAGAAGTGTCAGAGCAGTGTACTTTAAGTTCTGGAGGACATACTAAGTACTAGAATATTATATATTTTCTGAATTAAATCTCTGGTGTACTCATTTCTGCAATCCTTCATTTAAACAAAATTGTCTAATTTACTTATCTTACAGAAAATATTGGCATATATTTTGTTGTTTTCATTAAGTATATGTTTAATATGTTTCAATTTTGCCATCTTTCCATGAATTATATTAGTGATCATACATCTTTTATTTATTCAGAGGGGGTGTACTCATTTATGCTGTGCACTGTAAGTCAACTCAACTCAAATACCTTACACATTGTTTTTTTACAGCAGGAAAAGTTGCTAAACCAAATGTACTGTGAAGAACCATTGAGGAACTTATCTTTTACTATTCCTAAAGGTCCATTTTAGCACTTTAGGAAATACGTTTTTGTACGGGATTAAATGAAGAAAGCCTTTTTAAAAAAAAAATAGATTAAAATGAGAAAAATGTTAAAATACAATCAACACATACCTTTACACTGCTTTATGTCTTTTAGGTCTGGTAAGGAACACACTGCCAAAAAAAAAAGAAAGAAAGAAATAATTAATGGTTACCCAGATGTGAATTTTATTTAGTATTTTTTATATATATATTTATTTATTTTAAATATTTAAATATACATTTTTGATTCTTAGAATAACATTTAGATGCAACAAGACAAAAGTTTTCAATAAAAATAACATAAATCAATAAAATAGAGTTTTGCAGTAACAACTTTAAATTGAATTAACGCATGTTAGAAACATACCCCTTTAAATACTAGTAAGTATGCCAAACTCATGTTGTTGTATATATGTATTGACAGTAAGTAAAAAATAATGGCTACCTGTTTTTAATGTAGGGAATTCATTAATTTCAACTTCAGGTGACTTGGCGAATGATCCAACAGTGATCTGCATTGTTCTGCCAAAGGCAACATTTTTATACTCCACCAGCGTCAGCTGCACCACACAAAGATAAACACGGAGATAACAATCAAGTCACCAATTTCATGCACACTTACAAAGACTTTCTTCACTGTTGCTTCAGCCAGGATCTTCTGGAAATTCTGCATTTGTTCACTGTTTACTTTTATGTATAACATGCCTGGCCATTTTAACTTGCCAGATCTTCTAGAAATATTTTAATCAAATATAAATGTTAAAGGTTCAAATATTACACTGTCATTACTGGTACAAATAAGTAAGTTGGTCATGTTGCACATATTTAATTTTTATTTTTATTTTTTTATGTACAGTATATCCAATCCAGCCTTACAGATCAGCCCACAGAGGTCTTATTTATGACAGGAAAGTCCATTTATCTAACTTCTTGTTCCTGGTCTAAAATTACCTGCCTTTTAATAAAAGCTCATAAATCTCTCATTATTCTGCATTATCACCAAATCTTGGACTCAATCTTTTATCAACTCGTTTTCTTTCAAATTGCACAGGGTTTTTTATTTCTTTTTGGAACCGACTGATCATAGGCCTCATTGATCTGAACTTATGAACCTCAGCTTTTGAGCAAAAAGCACTATTTGAGAATAATTTTGGCTAATTTTGTGGGGGGGAATACAATCTTCTCCAGGTAAAAATAGAAGACGGGTGACACTCACAATGAGAAGTTTACGACTTGCAGCAGAAGTCACTGTGAAGTCTACTCTCTTGCACCACTCTTGCTGCCCTTCTGCTGGTTGGTAGCATATTGTAATAGTAGCTACATGAAGAGAAGACAAAGAGGTGAGCTTTAATAGTGCATTTCATGACAGACACTGACTACGTTTACATGGACATCAGTAATCTAATTATTCACTTTATTCTAAATAGGCCAATATTATGATTAAGGTGTTTACATGAGTTGCTTTTAGAATATTTCATGTTCCCGTTTGAAATGTTATAGTACATAGTTCGATTAATGGCACACGTCATTACGTCCCCGCGTGCCACCATCCGACGTCCCCTATGTACAGTTTTGGGTGTTTCACTTTTAATTTTATGAAAGCTTCAAGTGCAGTTAATTATTTGTACGTGCATACAGACGACGGCGGGTGTTTTGATTTGCCGTCAAACGGTTGAGCACTGCCGTGTGTGTATCCTGTCGCAAAATGCGGCGAAAAGTCCTACACGACGGTAATAACGTGATTAAGGTGTTTACATGTCTATACTGCACTTCAGTAATGTGACTAAAATAAGAATACTCCACATGTCTTAATTCAATTTCTGTTTACTTCAATTATGACTTTAGCTGGATTAAGGTAATCAGAAATCTCTGTTTACATGGTCGATTCTTAATCAGAGTATTGTCTTAATCGTATTAAAATCGGAGTATTGTTGTCCATGTAAACGTACTCAATAATGGAGAATCCACTGCTGTCTTTCAGCAAAAGCAAATACAGTTTAAGAAAATCAATTTGCTTAAGTCCATTAGCACTAATAAACAAATTAAGGGAAATATTTGGAGTTTTTAAGTTCACTTGGTCTACCTTGATCTAGCTGGTCTTCACAGAGAGAGTATTCTTTCTGTTAAAAAGAGTAAGATGTTATAGATGAAATTTGAACTTTTTAAAATATTTTTTATGAACGAACAAAACACTTACACTTTGACTTTCTGATGTGTCATCTGGTATGGAAACACATCCTGAATCCCAGTCCCCTGAAATTAGAAAGGTTAGTGTTAACATAAACCATTGTTAGGCCAACAACTGTAATGTAGTGCTACTGTAAGGACTCACCACTGCTCTCCTCTTCATATTCTGATCTCTCGGTATCTCTGTCCTTCTCATCTTTGAGATCTGGAATAATACTCAGCTGGATGCTAATCCACAAACACGGTTTGCAGTCCTCCCCTTGACAGCACAATGTTGGCTTTACAGCCAAAGAACACACATACACAGAACCACAGATCACATCAAGTGGTGTGATAGGCTCTGTATCTCTCACACTGCAGTTTAGAGCCTAAAAACACAAACATATTCCAGGTTATGAACAGATCAACAGATCTTGCTTGCTTGCATCTTGAAATAATTTTTGTATTAGCATTTGAATTAACTTTTCTTTTTTTGACATGCATTACTTATGCAAAATTTCAATGAATTCTCAAAACTCAATTTTGTATCGCCATACATAGAAGTGCCTTAAATACAATTAGTATTTGTATTTCAAAAATAATTCTGGAATTATTATCAGTCTTTAAAATATGTTAAAAAAAATTCAAATAAACTTAATAAATCCACTAAAATCACTGAAACACTAGCTGATTAAATGTTATTGAGCAAAACGACAAATAATGTAACATAAAACACTGAAAAAAGTGGGCTTTGCAAAGTCTTTAAAAAAAAATGTAAGTGTATTTTAGTACTAGTTACTTGATAGTTCCACCACTTGAAATAGAACATCAAATAATTTTGGTTTGTTCGTTGATTTGTTTAAAATGGCATAAACATACACGTGGTAATGTTTTTTAAACTAGATTTTAAAAAGATTTTCATTTTTTTATCATCTCAGACATCCTTGTTTATCTGTGTTAACTGACAGCCTAAATACTTTTGAGGCAACTAGCATATAATATTGCATAACAATTTCATTTAATTCTTGTTTAGTTTTCAGTTTAATGTGCTGTTTTTGTACTAATAACATAATATAATATCATATAATGAGGGTATGTACTTTAATATATTATAGTATATATTTAATAAAGTAATATACTGAGCACCGTTCACCTCTGTATAGATATTTTTTTACAAAATATCACAACTATACAAAAAAAAAAACAAGTAGGCCTAATAAACAAACAAACTTGTTTAATGAACGTATACTCCTAACCTGAGGACAGATGACATTGTTTTCTGGGTTGTGTGTGACTCGTTCCAGCGCACACACACATCCGCTGGCCAATAGGAGCAGCTGGACTATCCACTCCGTCAACTTCATTGCGCAACAGTTTCGCTCTCGTATCCAAGAGAGATTTAATCGAAACTGGTTAAGAACAAAATCCTATAGGTTGTATCCTTCGCTATGTCGTCTCTATGAGGCTTTAGGAGAACCCAAGACGACCATAGTTCTGATCGGCTCGGACACACAGTCCAAATCCACCGTCCGGTACTCGAATGTCGCAGTTACACAGCATGATGTCCCGGTTGTCTGTTAGGAGTTAGAAAATAGTTATTATTTTATTATTTCGCGATTCAAACTCTTTGGCTGTTATATTATCGAAATAGAGCTGCTGGTCCTAAAAGTCGGCAGATCTGTGTTCGGTATGAAGTCACCTGGCTTCCAGTTTGCCCAGGTGTGTCTGTGCGAATGTCAGATTGCCAGATAATGTAGGTGTGTACTTGAATTTACCTACTGCTCTGCCTGATATGCCTGAATTTCCGATACATATCAGGGCAATGAGTATTGCTCTCATTTATTGCATGTAAACTCCATTTCCACTCCAGTATAGAGAACACTCAAAAGTAAAATTCCCATAACGCTTGCAAAATAACAAAATGTAACATTCCCTCAATGCTTTCTCTGACGTTCAAAAAAAGGGAATGTTAGCAAAACGTTCTTATTGTGCGCTCTAGTCGACCACAAAGTCATTATTACGCGTGGGAAACTCTGAATTTTCCTTAAAGGGGTCATATGATGCGATTTTAAGTTTTCCTTTCTCTTTGGAGTGTTACAAGCTGATTGTGGGTAGATAAGATCCCTGAAGTTGCAAAGACTAAAGTCTCAAAACCGAAGAGATATTCTTGATCAAAGTTAAGACTCTGCCACGCCCCCCTAAAATGGCTCGTTCTAACACGCCCCCACATATCTACCTCACTATGTGGAAATATTTGCATAATGCGGCCCAAAGGTGCACGCAAAGAAAGAAGGCGTGGTTTCAGTAACCGCAGTTAGTGTTGAAGCAGCCGTGTCAGGGAGACGCTGTGTGTTTCTAGACGAAAGCAAAAGCACTTTATTTGGCCTTCCAGAAGTAGATGCATTTAGAAATCTTTAAGATTATTTACAACAGAACAGCAATGCATTTTATGGACGACCGTTTCACCAAATACACAAAATAATGATCTTTAAAAAAGCCTCATATGACCCCTTTAAACCCCGAGTTTCCGAGTTGGGGGAGTGTCAGTGAGAAAACATGTCGGATACAATGGATGCAGCCAAAGGCTACAGATATGCAGCGTCTGTATTTACGGTAAATTTGTTGAAATAAAAATTATAATTTTTTGGTCATGTACAATAAAACTATAGGCCTATATACAAAATGATATATTGTATAATTACCATAGAATATATAATGATTCGGTTTACATCACCTTCATAAATGGAATAAAAACAGAAAAAAAGCAAAAACACAATGATGCACATTCATTATTCATCATTTTGTAGATGTAGAGTTTTAAAAAATCGTTGAATTTTATGTAAAAATGTTAGATCGCCATCTTGTTCTGACCAATGTGACTTGAACGCACCTAACATCGTAATTACGATTTGTTAACTCGTAAATACGAACTTCCCAGGAGGACTTGAATGCTCCACAAGAACACGTTTTTGCTAACTGGTTTAGTACTTGTTACTTGATAGTAATACAACTTAAAATTAGACATTAAATCTATCCTTATTTGTCATTGACCCTCATTTATTTTTAACTGAGACTACTCTTTAAATACTTTCAAGGCCTCTTTATAATTATATTACATTATTGAATTTCAAAATAGACATTGATACTAGGATAATATTGGTTTCTTACGGTAATACAAATTATATATATATATGCTCACAAACAAAAAATTTCTTTAGCTTTAACACAAAATGTTACTTACTGCCCGGTGGTCTTAATGAGAAGGTGTTTTTGAAGCACTGCAAAGTAAAGCCTCCTATGACTTTGTTGCTTTTGGCACACATTCACTAAATGAAAGAGCGTGTGAGTGAATTTTGAGTGTATGAGAGACTCGCCCCTCCCAGCTGACAGTCAAAACACACACACACACACACACACACACACACACACACACAAGCAAGCAAGCACCAGTTGGCTTTGTGGGAGAAAACCTCAGTAGTAAAACAATGTTTGTGTTCTCATAATTAACAGAGCTGCTGTAATGAATGAGAATATGATCTTGGTTATTTGCAGCTTCATAAAACTGTAACCAGGAAACTTCCAGGTGCAAAGTTCCCTGTCTGGATCATTCACTGCAACCGAGTGAATTTGTTTAGCAGCTCTGTTTCATGTATCATGGCAACTGGTTATAATAATTCACCTGGGATTAAGGAGTCACTGTTAATAACTGACAGAAACCACCCAAAACAGGGAGTAACAGAGATCATCCAGATGCTTCTTTCAGAAATAATAAGGCCCAAGGTTTGCTAAGCAAGGATTGTTATCAATAGAAACACCCTAAAAACACCCACCACTGAAGCTGAATGCATATAGGGGAGACTGGGGCTAGTTGTCACAAGGACAATAGCAACTGTCATGTTGGCAAGTTGCAATCTTGCAATGTGTTTCATGTGTTGTACTGTATAAATTAAGAGAAAAAATAGCTAAAAATCCAAATAGGCTGCTTAATTGCAACTTCCTAGTGTGGCCACATGCCCACTATTAAATGGAAACTACTTGCAAAAAAAAAAAGTGGTGAAAACTGACCTTTGAGTTGACCTACGAGGAACTGCTAAAGCGCCGCCTCAGCAAATATGAGCTACTAACTCACAAATATGAGCTACTAACTGTTGTCAATAAGACAACAAAAGATATGAAACTGCCTAATATGTCTATTGCTGATCACTCAAATAACTCAACATCAAATTATGATTTTTAAACAGGTGAAAACAACAGAGAAGATAATGGCCAATGTGAAAGAGGCCATTGGGACAAAGTTTCCCCTCTATTGTCTTGGCTTTGGATATGATGTAAACTTTGACTTCCTGACAAAGATGTCACTGGAAAATGGTGGAGTTGCTCGCAGGATTTATGAAGATTCGGACGCTGATCTACAGCTGCAGGTGAACTACAGACAATCAGCTGTGAATTCATCCTCAATGCTGAACTTTGTTTGAGCGCATTTAAAGTCTGTTTGATTTTTAGGGCTTCTATGATGAGCAGATCTCTCCTCACTGATATTCAACTTAAATACCCAGGAGGGACAAACCTTACCAAGACCAGCTTTAATCCACTTATTGTTATTTGGGCAAACATCAAGCCATAGGAAGGCAGCCAACACAATGCAAACGCCAGCACTAACAGAGCAGACGTCTGAGTCACATGCACATGGTAGTGCTCCAAACGGTCAGTCCGAGTTGTGCGGCCCCGTCTAGTGATTTTGAGGAAATGGTATATCTTGGCATTGGCTATTACAACGAACCCATGTGGAAATGCAAACGCGAATAGGAAGTGGCATTCCGTATGCCAACTGGCCTTTGTCAGACAGGAAATTGAAACATGCCAGGTCCTCATGGGCTTCATGGTTGTCCAGGCCTGAAATCAGCATACTCCAAGCAAACTGAGGCAATGCCAAGACGACTGCTGGTATCCACAGTACACCCGCAACTACTTTTGAACGTCCCTCTCTACGCCATTGATACGCTTTTGATTGATGGACCACAATGATGTACCGCGCAAAAGCCAAAGAGGCCAGCGTAAAGGCACTCGCAGCTGTACACATCGCACCCAGGAAGCTCACAGACTTGCACATGAAGCTTCCAAACGGCCAGTGACGGGTTGCAATGGCGACTGTGTGATATGGAAGACATGAAAGAAGGAGAAGATCTGCCACACAGAACATCTGTCCTCCTGTCCTTCCTCCACTGTCCTGTCCATGTCCTCGCTGTATCGTACGACAGATGACGATAAGAACCAGGATGTGTCCCACCACCCCAGTTACCAGGATGAAGCTGTCAAATATGGGTACCAACACTCGCTCAACATCACTCAGTCCATGACTGGAACTGTTTTGTCCCATTAACCATAATGGAGTGTCCAAGGATGAACCACAATCTAATTTGAATGTAATTGGTTCCTAAAAGCAATTATTATTTTTTATGCATCTCTTCAAATACTGTCTACAACTTTTACTTAACTGAAAGCAACAGAACAATGTTTTACTAATATTTCCCATTCGAGGGGTCTCTCAGACCATTATAAAGATGTTCAAACATTTCAAAACCAGTGTGCAGTGTAGATCCTTATGCATTATTGTAGTTTTGCCTGAGAACACAATGGCAAAACACTCTGGAATGCATCAGTAGTTAATGATTGCAGAACTCAAAGCGCAGAAATACTGCTACGGGTTTAGTTCTCTTCAGGGGAAGCAAAATATTGCCTGAAATCATTGTTTAATTGTCTTTCCACAGATATATTTCCTCTATAATTCCTTTACAGATATGGCAGATCCAAAGCCATAACAATGGCAGTTGCACTTGCCTGTGGTGACTTCAGTGATTGCAGACGCATTCAAAGGATTTGCTGGATTCTTCTTCAAACCTCAAGATGAATTTCACAAATTCAATGTCTATGAGCTCAATAATCCAAAGTATCAATCTGCCGGAACTCCCAAAGTATTATTCAAAAGATCTGGAGTGGAAAGCAGTGCTTTAAATGGAAACTTAGTTCAACAGCCGGAGCGAGGCAAGCCAAATGGCCTTTGACCTGACAGCAGTGATGCAGCTCCTAGAAACACTGAGCTTTGTTTAACCACTCATTTAGTGAACTGTCAAGTTTAGTCAATAAACATAACATCCGACTTCTGTCGTTGGTTTCTTTCTATCCCAGGCGCTTAATTCCATGTTTTAACCTGGGTGTTTACTTTGCCATCAATGTTAAAATATTATAATTGAATCACATTTCCCTCCAAAAATGAAAATTCTGTCATCATTTTTTTCATTCCAAACTACAGAATCTTTGGAACACAAAAGATATTTTGGAAAATGTTTTTGGACATACAATGAAACAAGACATTTTTCAAAACATCTTTTGTGTTCTGCAGATTTTTTATTTATTTATTTATATTTTTGTGTGAAATACCCCTTTAATTAATACTGAAAAATAAAAGTTACATAATCTTAAATTTCCTTAAAGTTCCTTTAGATGAAGTGTTACAGTGTCATAAACTCAAGTGTACATGATCACGTAAGTTTAAAGCACAAGGACAAAAGTCAAAGCATACAGATAAAGTGCCCTGTACATAGTTTAGATTGTCTGTGTAACTGCTGACTCAATACCCTCGTTAGTATAGCCATGAAGTCTTACTTAAATCTAATGAATCACCATGACTTGGCTTATGACTTACATCTGATGCATTTTTTAAAAAGCTTCTTCTCACTGAGACTAGAGAAAACGGCAGAAAATAGGAATGGCCATTATTTATACTATTCATAAAGATTTTTCTGTTCCTGCATTTCACGTAGTTCCAAATAAAACCTTAAAAGTTCTAATAAAACTTCTAAAAAATACAGTCACTTGCTAACGTAAACAAGTATGTACTGTATTGCGTGGACACGCTAGTAATGCATATAATGTTAGATGTGATAGATGTTAGATGTTGTGATGTCAAGAAATGTTTATTCGATTAAGCTGCAATCCTAAAATGCTCATTAAATCATTTGCGATTTTAAAGAGCGATCATTTTAAATAGATTTTAACAAAGTGGAAAAAAATCCAGATTCTAACACATTGTTTTTATGTCAATGAATTAATTTACATAGAAACATGCTTCGTTTGCCAGCTTTGAACTCTACAGCTCAGTGACAGTAAAATCAGAAATGTCTCTCTGCATCGCAGCGTAGAACGAGACAAGCCAGCATTTGATAACCGGCTTTGAAGAAAGTCTGTAGTCTGTGGCATCCACCCTACAGATACATTAATAGATTAAACAGATGTATAATACAAGAAAAAATCAGCAGTGTACATATTGTTTATCACGTACCAGCTTGCGCTCACTTCCTGGTCATTTATCTTTAGAGCTGGTGTTTGTGATCCTTGAATCTCCTCATATGAAGCATCGGTTTTTCCTTTAATATTATCCACAGTTATTTATCCCATGTTGGTTTAATAATTAAAGCAAGTTACAAATCAAAATGTTCTGTTTGATTGCTAAAATGTTGATACATGTTTAAATGTTTAAAAGTGAAGCACTCTAACCTAAAATGCCTGTCAACTTGACATCTTTTGGCTGTTGCTGAACAGCAGGCCACAGAAACATGTCCCCGTTTTCCTTGTGAAGCAGAATAATGACACGGATATTTCCCATGGTGACATCTATTTCATTAGTCCGTAGAATCAGAGACATGCTGTTGAAACAGAGAAGCTGATGAGTAAATTCTCTCAGATTAACATAATGTACATACATTTAGTGAAACACGTAGTGGTTTGAGTAGTATTTACTCCTCTGTATTGTGTTGGGTTGGTTCCTGGCCCCACAGAAACTCAACATGATTCTGGCCGTCGTGGTATCTGATAGACGTTGTGCTTATTGTCAGATGATGGTTTGTTTTGTAATGAAATGCAATTTTATGACATCCATTTTGTCCAGTCATGGATTCTCCATTCATAGAGAACTCTAGGACACACAGTACAAAACATTTAATTACAGAAAAAGGCGACTTTCAAAAGGACGTGCATGTAGTAAATGTGTAATAGTAACCTGAAGCTGAATCCTGTAGGAGTCGGAGTTTGTGAGGAACAGGAACGTCAAAACAAAGCGGCTTAGACTGACCAACAACAGGCAGCAGGAAACGACTGCTATGAGCTGGTGGAGCTAAGACAAAACATAACCAAATGCAGCATCATAATTATTCTATAGAAATGGTATAATAATTAAGTTTGAGAGCACTTTATGTACCTGACATTGTAGAAAGTACAACTACTCTACTTGTAACCGTGGGCATTTGTTCTAAAAAACAAAACAAAAGAGGTTTAGTCATTAAAAAGCCAGATACAGGCTATTGATAATAAAGCTTTTCATGCTTAGTCAGTTTATCAATAAGTGAAATTATTATTCTTATTATTAAAGGTTTTTGGACAAAGAATGGTACACTGTCATACATACCGTCAGATTCCGGAAATAGTACGCTTGGGACTGGGAAAAAAATTAAAGTTAGGTATTATATAGACGATAAAATACTTGCATTCCTTATCAAGTACAATAATGCAAAAATTGATAGCTAGACAAGACATACATGATATGCACATGACAACTGTGTTCATTTATTATTAAATCTGGTTGATAGCAAATACATGTAATAAATGCATAGCAGAAAAGCAATGAAACCACCTACTTGCAGCATGATAAAGATTAGGGTGATATCGTCCACCTGAAAACATAGTGTTTTTTTTATGTTGTAAGCATGAATCAAAGATTTGTTTAATACAAATTTGTTTGAAATATGTGTTTTATTGCAACCCCTCCATTTTACACCTTTACCCCATTTGCCTAGCCTTTTTCCCACCAAATTTTTTTTAAATATGTATATTTATATTTATATAATGTCAATAAATGAATAAATAAATGGAGGGGTTTCAAAGCAACATTTAGAAAAAGGGATAGTCTTAATGATCATGCGGAATACTGCTTGGTGTGAACACTATGGAAACTATATGATAAGGTTGCAGTTTCCTTTTTCCATAACAGACATACCACGGAGCCCTTGACGATGAAGCACATGAGGAGCACCACCACCACCTCCATATGCTAATCCTGGGATATAAAACAAATGAATGCATATTTGGCAGAGTATGCAGGTCTTCTCCAATCACCCTTCCTCTTTCCTAAACTAAGTCTTGGAGAAGATGGTTAAGAGGTTTGTTTTCATCTCAAAATTCAATCAACAACCAATGTACAAAACAAAATCCACACCCTGCATTTTCTTGTGTGTCACAATGCAGCAATAAATGTCTGAGGCCACTGCTGTTTCATTGTGAGTTTAATCTAAATTTCTGCATTTGTTTAAGTACATGAACTGTTAATTCACCATTTTATAACTACCTTTTAATCGACTCGTTGTAAGATGGGGGTACATTACTAATTGAAAAAGAAAGAGAAAAGTGTTATTCACTGTATACAGCTGTCAGTCCACAAACAAAGAATTATAACACAAAATGGAATACTTAAGATTTTGCACTCATTTTTGACATTGAGTGGAAAATATCAGGCATTGTTCATGTTAGCGCGACTTGCTTTTAAAGCAAAAAGAGACATATTGAAGATGGATGCTAAAACTGATTTATACTTACTGATATAAAAGTTATAATTAAACATTTCTTAACATTAAGCCTAAAATGTGTTTTAATGTCACTACTGATGAGGACTGTATGATTTTTATGTCGGTCTTTAAATGCAAGACATTTAATGTGTACGTAAAGTATACTTGCAATAGTTCCACTTTAACACAATCAAATATACTTCAGTATATCTTTAGTTGGACTTCAACACTACTTCCACACAATTAAAGTGCATTAAGTACAAAATTAGTTGTTCCAATTTAGCAGACTTTAAGTATACCAGTTTTAGTATACTAAAAGTACAGTTGCAGGGTATTTTTAATAAGTACATAAATATGTAAATGTATTTGTAGTATGCTTAGCATGAAATAAATGTATTTCAAATATAGTTTAGTATATTTATTTTTCACTAGGTAGAACTTCTTAGTTCTCACCTGGAGGTCTGGGCGGCTCTCCTCCCTCTTTGGGTTTGTCGGCAACTTCCACTTCACCCTCCTGTGGCTTGGTAACAACCATAGAGGTGAGGGGAGTGACAAACTGGTATTTCAGGGAGAGTTCAAGAGCTTGCTCCTTTTCATCCTCTTTCTCTTGTCCTTTAAGAAGCACCCTGAGATAAAAAGATGTCCTCAATGTTCATCTTAAATCACAGAAAGTCATATCACTCATAAACTTACTGTCTCTCCAGAAGCTGCTTCACTGTAAGGTAGGCCCACAATCTCTGCATGAAATCTTCATTCTCAGGAGGGACATCACTGGGGTCTTTTGTGATTATAGTGTCCTGATACGTCACATTACTGCCTTTCTGCTCAGAAATAATAACTGTCAGTACCACTTTCACCCATAACCCACTATAAAAACAAACCTATTATTCCCAACTTCTTCAATCGACCAATGATCCTAATAATATGCCGCTAAAGAGAAGATTAGTGACGATCTTACTGATACTGCGATAACTTCAGTGGTGAAACTCTCCACACTGTTGTCTGTGATTTGTCCTGACACCACAATCTCAGAGCCATTGAAGTACAAGCTAAAGCTGGTCTTGGTAAGGTTTGTCCCTCCTGGGTATTTAAGTTGAATATCAGTGAGGAGAGGGACCGCAACTTCATCATAGAAGCCCTAAAAATCAAACAGACTTTAAATGCCCTCAAACAAAGTTCAGCATTGAGGATGAATTCACAGCTGATTGTCTGTAGTTCACCTGCAGCTGTAGATCAGCGTCCGAATCTTCATAAATCCTGCGAGCAACTCCACCATTTTCCAGTGACATCTTTGTCAGGAAGTCAAAGTTTACATCATATCCAAAGCCAAGACAATAGAGGGGAAACTTTGTCCCAATGGCCTCTTTCACATTGGCCATTATCTTCTCTATGTTGGTTTCACCTGTTTTAAAAATCATAATTTGGTGTTTTTGAGTTATCCTGGGTATTTAAGTTGAATATCAGTGAGGAGAGGGACCGCAACTTCATCATAGAAGCCCTAAAAATCAAACAGACTTTAAATGCCCTCAAACAAAGTTCAGCATTGAGGATGAATTCACAGCTGATTGTCTGTAGTTCACCTGCAGCTGTAGATCAGCGTCCGAATCTTCATAAATCCTGCGAGCAACTCCACCATTTTCCAGTGACATCTTTGTCAGGAAGTCAAAGTTTACATCATATCCAAAGCCAAGACAATAGAGGGGAAACTTTGTCCCAATGGCCTCTTTCACATTGGCCATTATCTTCTCTATGTTGGTTTCACCTGTTTTAAAAATCATAATTTGGTGTTTTTGAGTTATTTGAGTGATCAGCAATAGACACTTTAGGCAGTTTTATATTTTTTGTTGTCTTATTCTCTTACTGACAAAGATAGGAGCCAAATTGGTCATGATAATACCAAACAGGTCTGCTAATGAACCCTGTATATTATAGGCTGGCAGTTAAAGTGTTGTTCTATTCATTAAGTTGACTGAACAAACTAATGCTATGATAAAACACCCTTTAGCTTGTGTTTGTATGCGTCAGTGTGAATCTGTGCCTGAAGTGGGATCTCCATCAGTCAGCAGGATCAGGATGGAGGCTGTTCCCTCTCGTGGATGTCGACTGATCATGTCCACTCCTGCTAGAACTGCAGCGTTTATGTCCGTGGCTGAAGGAAGACCAAACATAGTTGTGTCACTGTGAGGTTCAACTTTCTTACTCCTTATGTAGCATTAGTGCTGTAACTCACCTCCTCTATCTCCGATCTCCTTCACGAAAGATTTCGCAATCTCCAGGTTTGTCTCAGTAGCTTTGAGGAGTTCACGTTTCCATAAGCTAACTTCATTGTCAAAGGTGATCAATCCAAAGTTGGTGTCCTCATCAAGATCACTCAAAATCCGTAGCAGTGCCAAACGAGTCTGAAGAAAAACACTCCTGTCAGCAGATCTGGAATTTATTCTTTCTCCATTATGACTGACAAGAATGTTCTTCGATTGTTTTTCCATCAAAACATTTCATAGCTCATTATAAGCTTTTGATTTGGCTGAAACGTTGAGATTAACCTGGTCTATTTTTCTGCCGTGCATAGAGCCACTCCGGTCAATGATAAACACCACATTTTTGGGAATACGTGGAACATCAGAGGGTGCAAAGTAGTGGACGAAATAGCCATTTGATACCTGAGAGAACAGAGAAGTAAGTACATTATGAATATCACCGATGCCTTTTTACATGGTCAAGGTCATGATTTTTGTCAAAATGGTCACATATTTTACTCTTTTAAAGCATGTTATTGAAAATGTACCATGACTTCTCCTTTGGGATTTCGTCTCTCAACATCGTACGTTACAAGCAGGTCTCCATTCAACCCATTTTCTCCACAGCTTTTACACTTGGTCTGTTGATCTTGAGTGGGGTATAAGGTCACCCATGCCTGAAATGATCAGTTTGGTCGGTCATCTGGTATCTTTATTTGAAGTGTATGAGCATATTGAGACCATTTAAACTGTGTTTTAATCCTCATTTAAGCTCTTACGTCTTTGTCTGCTCTGGTGGTTTTGATGGCATTGGCCAGATCACCAGTGCTCAAATCTCCTTTCACCTCCAAGAAGGAAATTCCTGGTTTCTCTTGGATGTGCACATCCATCTGATGTAAGTAAAGAAACATTATCTCTCTATCTATCTAAATTGATTATCCATCTCCTCCTTGTATCTTCTTCTACCTTGAAGTCAGCCACCGGCTGCATCGGTTGGGCATTGATGAGTAGCTCATATTTGCCGAGGCGACGCTTTAGCAGTTCTTCGTAGGTCAACTCAAAGGTCACTTTACTAAAAGCAGCCACTGTCACTGAGGTTTTAAAGTCTTCTAAAGTCCTTCCAACAGATCTGAAATAAAAACAGATACCAACATACTACTAATTATACTATAAATGGATATTTTTATGGACCTATATATTTTTAAATGTCCCGTACTTGATCTGTCCAGCACTTTGTCCTCGAGATACTGCTTGATTGTATTGCTGTTGAGCTTCCTCTTTTTCCATCACAACCCCATCATATGTTTTTCCCTCTATGGTCCTATGGAGAAAGTGACACTGATGTTCTCTTAATATACCAGAAACTTAAACTGTGTGTATTTCATTTAAAAAATATCCATCTCACTCAAATGGTAGCACCACTAAATAAGTTTGTTTGTATTAAAGCATCTGTACTGTTAGCTACTATACCTTGTACTTTAAAAAGTACATACATGTTATTTATTCTTAGACTAGTAGAAGGTATAATTTCTAAATCTTTATTTTGTTCTTGTTTGGCTGTATTATAAGATTTACCTGATCTGATGCCCACATGCTATAAATGGCTTATTTACCTCTTTATATAGGCCTAACACTACTCATGTTCACCTACATTCTGAATTTGCTGATGAAGGCATTCTTGGGAATCTTGACCTCAAACTGGATCTCTTGAGATTCATTCAGTGTGTTCGCAACACGGCTTGTGATGACTGTTGTGGCGTAGCGACTGGTGACCGTGGAGTTAATGTAGAAGCTGTATATATCCACATTTTGTTTCTGTTGAGACATTGAATAGTAAATATTAAAGTATTTTATCTCATATTAAAGTATGGTCAACGTGATTGGCTGGTGCACATTTACTCCTCCTTTTCACATAGGATTGCTCAAATATTTACTGCTCAAAAATGGCATGGAGAAAAGGCCTTTGGACTGAAAGACAAATACGTTTTGATGACTGTATCTCAGTGTACACAGTTGCGCAATAGATGGTTCTGTCGACTCAAACTGCATTTTTCTGTCAACAATGGCATTATAGACATAATCAAAATGAAAATGTCTAAACAGATAAACCAAGCAGCTGAGAATAGCTGATTTCGTACATTGCATTGTGGATTTGTTAAGAAAAAAGACAGAATATACAACAAGCTAAATCCTATTAAATATCAAAATACATGATACACTACTATTCGAAAGTTTGGGAACTAAATTTTTTTTTAAATGTATTTGAAAAAAGTCTATGCTCACTGAGGCTACATTTATTAAACCAAAAATACACATGAAAACAGTAATTTTGTAAAAACAGCCATTACTCCAGTGTTCTGTCACATGATCCTTCAAAAATCATTCTAATATGCCAATTTGCTGATCAAGAAACATTGTGTATTAATTAATGTAGCAAACAGTTGTGCTGCTTAATATTTTTGCTGAAATGTTATGTTTTTTCAGGATTTCTTTATGAATATGAAGTAAAAAAAAAAAAAAAAAAAATTTTTTTTTGA